CCACACACACACACACTATGGGCTGGAGCACACTGCTACATTGCAAAAGAACAGGTAACGTGCCCCAAGAGAAAAATAAATCAAGGTTGACCCATCATCCCCAAGGACTGATGTGCAGAGGAGGTGGCTTGCTGAATCTATGCATGAGTCGTCATCCCGCTCTTGCTTCCGTGCTCGTCCCCCAGAGTGGCTATTCTGCAAAATTGTTTCACATTGAATTCAACAGAGTTGCTCGAAGGGAACTGCCTGTTGTGTTCCCTGCCTTAAAAGCTGCTCTGGGCTGGCTTCCATTCAAGAAGCATGCCAGAAATTCTTAAACATTCTTCTGGAGGTAGGTAATTCTTCAGCCTGCAACAGGAACGCAAGGAAATGAGGTGGCAGAATGGGGCACGCCACCATTTTGAACTGCATGTGGAGGATCACAAATTGCAGTGCCCCCTTGCCCGGGATTAAAAAGTCTCTGCAAACAGGAAAAGCAGACCAGCAGGCACAGAAGGACCAGGAGGGTTTTTTAAAAAAAATGTAAAGCAACACAGAGGAGGAGTCCTGTGCCTTCAGTCACTAATATGTTATTCTTCTGTAAGTATGAACCAGGCTCTGGTCTTGCCCATGTGAAACCACCCGTGAGAAATGAGACTCCAATTTTGATTTAGGCCAGGGGTCCCCAACATTTTTGAGACTTGTGGGCACCTTCGGAATGGATGGTGGGGGCATCCACAAAATGGCTGCCACGACAGGCGGAGCCACACATGTCTGTACACAGAGGAAACCCCCAAGTGCACAGGAGAAGGGGGGAATGTAGAAAATGCACAGGAAGGAGCAGTGAGAGAGGATAAAACCAACACCATGGTGGCAGCTGCCACCGAAACAATGTTATTTTAATCTGCCCAGCCAATCAGATCTCCAGGGGCAATTCAGGCAAGTTCCCCACCAACTTTTTAAAAATACCTGCTGGACACCATGTTGGAGACCCCTGATTTAGACAAAACATCTCTCGTGTTAGAATTTTTAGGAGGGGGAGATTATGGACATAGTGACAGGGGTGGCCAGACTACAGCTCAGGAACTGCATGTGGCTCTTTCACACAGTCTAATGTTAATAAAAAGCAAACTTGCATATTTTTCAATAAAAACATCTGTGTAATATTTGTTTCATGTCTTGCAGCTCTCAAACATCTGACGTTTATTCTGTGTGGCTGTTACGTTAAGTAAGTTTGGCCACCCCGGCATAGTCCAAGGGACATTATGTTCATTACTAGATGCCAATTACTGCCACAGAGCAAGAATAAACACCAGGTTAAGTGCACCTTCAAGGCTAACAAGCACAACGTTTTGTAGGTAGGGCTGCCAGCTTTGGGTTGGGAGATTTGGGGGTGGAGCCTGAGGTGGGTGGGGTTTAAGGAGGGGAGGGACTTCAATATATGATGCCATAGACTCCACCTTCCAAAGCAGCCATTTTCTCCAGGGGAATGTATCCCTGTCACCTGGAGGCCAGTTGTAATAGTGGGAGCTCTCCAGCCACCAGTTGGAAGTTGGCAACCTTATTCATAGGCCTCGTTTTGTCAAATGTCTCTGTCCCCCACAAGAAATGCAACAGTGTCAGTGGGGAGTAGTGACTCTGGGAGGCTTGCGATCGTGCCTCTGTAACCAGCGCATAGGACCCATAGGTAACTTTCACCTGACCCCTGTTCCAAGTTGCCTGTGGATCCGCCCTTTACCCAGCAGTCGACCCTTGATAGGAAAAACTGGTGGGGCTGGTCAAATTCCAGCCAGGTGGTACCTCTAAAGGTTGGCAGGTATTGTCTGTTTTGCACTGAAGAGTGGCTTTAAAGAAAGTTGGGGCTGGGTAGGAGAGGTGTGTTGTTCCCTGGTAAAGGCAGCTGGGTTTGGACCTTTCCTGGTTATCCTTGATGTAAACAAACAGGATGTGCCCTAAAGAGGGGAACTGATTGAAGAGGAAAGAAGCTTTGCAAAGATCATTTAAGATGGATGGATTTAATGAACAAGCCCTTTATGTGGGTCACAGATGCACCCATTAGGTGCAGTTTATACCAGAGGCCGGTGAGGGACTGAAGATTAGCTGAAGGCTGGCCTGAAATGTCCCTTGGTGAGTCATTTCCCCTGGTTGCTTCAGTCTCCTACCTATAATAAGCAGGCTAATGAGTCTGACCTGCTTTAGAAGGCCAGCATCATAATCATGTCCTTTGTGTAGCTTTTTTCAGTTGTTCAAAGGGCCTCTTGCAAGAGCCCTGTAAGGTTGGCCAGTAATGTATGTACAACACAGGGCAGGGCTGAAGGTAGCAGTTTACCTAAAGGCTCAAAGAACAAAGTTTGAGTCTGTGTGTGTGCCCAGAAAAGCTTACACCCAGAATAAAACTTTGTTGGTCTTCTCAAACTTTGTTCTGTTGCTGCAGACCAACACAGCGGCTCACCTGAATCTAAGCACAGGAACTGAGGGCTGAGGCAAGATTTAACCCCAGGTGTGTGTACTTGCGATGCTCATGTGCCCTAAAGAGGAGTTTGTGCAAACTATGCTCAGAGAGGTTGCAATGGGACTCTGCTGTAGCCCAGACTACAGAGGGTCCCAAGGCATGCGGGGCTGCCAGCAGGCCTGGAGGGGGGAAATGTCCTGTCCCTTTAAGAGAAGCTTCGTGTGGGGAAATGGGTGGCTGACTCTTTCCAGGGCATGGAGGTAAATGACACCACCTGGCAAATATCATCCCATTAAGCCACCCATTAAAGGGACAGGGCATTTCCCCTCTGGGCTGTTTGTCAGCATCCCGAGTTAAAGACAAACGAGTTTATTGTGGCAAAGCAAAGGTTGGGCCACCATAACTTGATTTGCCTCCCAGCTGTCCTGAGATTCTAGGTTGTTTTCCATTCCTAAAAGTAAGTCTCCACCAGAAAAACTTGGAGCATTAATTCAAATATTGGCTATTGAAGAAAGAGGCAAGAATTTATTTATAGTCCCCCTTTTTCCCCAGTGGGGACTCGAAAGAGCTTACATCCAGTGTTCCCTCTAAGCTGAGTTAGTGTGAGCTAGCTCATGCTTACATCCTCTCCTCCATTGTATCCACACAACTACCCTGTCAGGTAGGTCAGGCTGAGGGACTGTGACTGTCCCAAGGCCACCCGGTGAGCTTCCATGGCAGAATGAGGATTTGAACCTGAGTCTCTGGGAGTCCTAGTCTGACAGTCTAACCACGAAGATAGAAGCAGTGTGGTATGAAGCAGCGTGCACACAAAAGCTTATACCCAGAGTAAAACTTGGTTGGTCTTAAAGGTGCCCACTGAACCCAAACTTCAGTCTAACCACTACTCGGCTCTGGCTTAGGTCTGAGGTCCTTGCCTGGAGACTGCGCATAGCTGTGCTTTTCAGAACATGGGGCAAGCTCCCCATTTGTTCCACTTCTGGCCATGAGTCCCCCAGCCCAAACTCCTCATCTGCTGGGGGAAACAATTGCCGGCTGGCTGGCTGGCTGAAGCACATCACTTCCTACGCTTCAAGACAAAGGCACTATGGTCTGGCCACTAACGCACGGAATAGGGACCACTGCCCTTCTTTGATATGCGGGGCACAAATCAAACTGTCCCGGATGGAGAGTCTGGCCTGACTGCAGCTCAAGACGGCCATGTATCATTTACCAAGCTGAATTCTGGCTATTAGAGTGGAATCCACACATCCCTGGACATTGTACACTTGGATAAACATTCACCTGGGTTTTCCTGTGGGAATATCCTATAATGGGAGGCTCTTCTCTATGACAGGTGTGCTCCATCTTTCTGGAAGAAGGTCCTGAATAGTGCAAGGGGTTTTGGAGGGGGGAGGGAATACCATATTCCCACCCCCACCCCCCAGTTCTCTGTTTATAAACATCAGGCCCTTTAGAAATGAGTTTGGCTCACGCCGCTATGTCGTTCCAAGTACAGCATTTTCTCTCATGAGCAGATGACAATCATACAGAGACAGCACAGCATAATGGTTAGTGTCACACTAGGCGCCTGGGTTCAGATCCCTACACTGCCATGGAAGGTCGCTGGCCAGCCTCACAGGGTTGTTGTGATGATGAAACAGGGGAGGGGGAACCACGTGTGCCAAACTGAGAGCCGTGAAGGCAGGGGGCGAGAAGAACTAGACCAAGATATGGGACAAAGGAAATGGGTGCACTCATAGGGCAGACCCAGATGAAGTAGAGGTTTAATCCTCCCCTGAGCGAGGCCAGCAGTAGTGGTGGTGGGGACAAGATTCAAATGCTGCGGCCTTTTTTGTTTTGCCTCACAAGGGTCAGCAACAGCCACGAAGATGAGACGAATAGGATAATGGATAGCATCTCCACTGCTGCGTCTTTTCTCCCTACTGGGGACCTGGAGTGGTTTACCACATTCCCCACTTCTCCATTTTAGCCTCCTTTGATCCTCATGTGAAGAGGGTGAGGCTGAGGTTGCATGACTGGCTCAAGGTCACCCAGCAAGCTGCCGTGGCACAAGTGGGCCTACAAACCTGGGCTTCCCCCAGATCATCCTCTGACACGCTCTGGGGTCCATCTCGGATTCCAGTTCTCCATGCGATGCACAGAGTGACAGGCGGTGGGGAGCTGGGTTTCCATATATAGTTTTGGGCAGGGTAACAACTGCAAATGTATATAAGTTGCTTCAGAACTAACCTTCATTGCGCTGTAAACCCAGCCATGAAACCCAACGGAAATTCCTCCCATCAGTCCTGGAAGATGCTCTGGCTAAGACATTCGCTTGTCCCCAAGGAAAGGGAATTCCAAGGTCCAAGGACTGGCTTCAGAGACCGTCTCCCCACGTAACTAGGCAGTCCTGACTCAGCATAGAGATGGGAAAATTCAGGCGTCGGGACCAACTTCCAAGAAGGTATGCAGGGATGAATGCACGCATACTCCTTAGGTATGTGTAATACCGTTCAGGACTGGTTTTATTCCTTTACGCTTAACACACTTTTTTCAAATTTTTTTACAAAAATAATAAATAGGGGGGGGAATTAAATACGCATGTAATAAAATAGTCCAGTGTGGGAGAGCCATCACGTCAGGTGATGAGCATAGGTAGGAAGTGGGTGGAGAGGTGTTGCCGATAGGTCTTTGTGCCCAGCCGTGGGATGCCTTTGCCGTTGAGGGAGAGGAACATCTGGCGGCCGTGGTGGTGCCAGCGCAGTGAGGCGTATGTGTTGAAGCCATTCTCTTCGATGCGCTCCTTAAACTTGCAGTTGGGGCTGTATACTTTCTAAGGGAGGGGTGGGGGAGACAGAGACAGGAATGGGTTAATACATAAGGATCCATTTCTGGTTAAGACATAAGAATATCTTTCTAACAAGAAGAAGAAGAGGAGGAGGAGATTGGATTTATAACCCGCCTATCACTACCCAGAGGAGTCTCAGAGCGGTTTGCAAACTCCTTTCCCTTCCCCTCCCCACAACAGACGCCCTGTGAGGTAGGTGGGGCTGAGAGAGCTCTGACAGAAACTGCTCTTTTTCAAGGACAGCTCTGACAGAACTATGGCTTGCTCAAGGTCATCCAGCAGGTGCAAGTGGAGGAGTGGGGAATCAAACCCCAGTCTCCCAGATTAGAGTCCGCGCACAACCACCACACCAAACTGGCTCTCAAAGAAATCTTCATCTAGGATTAGGGGAAAAGCACACCCCAGGCAGTGTTGCCAACCTTCTGGTAGAGCCCGGAGATCTCCCAAAAATGCAGCTGGTCATCTCCAGATGGCAGCAAGTCAATTCCCCTGACGAAAAAGGCTTCTTTGGAGAGTGGACTCCCTGGCATTCGACCCCCACCAAGTCCCCTCCCCTCCCCAAGGTCTTCCCTCCACAGGCTCCACTCCCCAGATCTCCAGGAACTTCCCAACCCAGAGTTGGCAACCCTGCCCCCCAGCCCATCTTTCCCTTCCAAATGAAAAGAATAAAGGTGCCATGTTACCGTCCCGTAGATTCTCCCCTTTCTGTTCATGGCCAGGTAGAAGCCGCTGTGGACGGATCGGATCACAACGACACCCACGTGCACCGAGCGGATCTCCACAATGCCTGGGGGGAGGTTGACATTGATTAATAAGCCCACGCTGGGATATCCTTCCCAAACATTTTGGGCAACTTTGACGTTGGAAAAGCAGTGCAAAAATCTTTCAGAGCAATATTTGTTTAATCACAGGCCTTAACAGCAAGGCCTGATCTCGTCAGGTCTTTGGCTGTTAAGCAGAGTCAGCTCTGGTTAGTACTAGTTAGTACTGGTTAGTACACCAAGGAAGTCCAGGGTTGCTGTGTAGAAGCAAGCAATGTCCAGCCGCCTCTGATTTTTGGCCTGATCTGGACGGCCTAGGCTAGCCTGATCTCATCACATCTGGGAAACTAAGCAGGGATGGTCCTGGTTAGTACTTCGATGGGAGGCCACCAAGGAAGTCCAGGGTTGCTATGCAGAGGCAGGGAATGGCAAACCACCTGTTGGGCCACTACCACCACAAAATGGCACCTCCTAGTCCAAGCCCTGAAAGGATTGTTGGAATGAGTGACTCAGGATGCCTGGACATTGTGGGGCACTAAGCATGTTGAGTTTTCTGTGTACTTGCGAGTCAACATGAGATCAGGACTTAACAGGGCAATCCTAAACAGAGTTAACACACTTCTGAGCCCTTTCTTCTGCAGACTTGGAAGGTATAACTCTGCTTCTGAGCTTGTTTTATTTATACATATCCCACTTTTCTTCCTAAGTTTATAACACTGTGTTGTCCGCCCCCATTTTTAACCTCCCAGTGACAGCCCTAGGAGGTAGCTTAGACTGGGAGAGAGGGTGACAGGCCCAAGTTCACCCGGCAAGCTTCCGTGGCAGAGTAGGCATTCGAACCCGGGTACCACACACCCATGTTCATTTCCAAAAACAAGGAAAGTGTCAGTCCCAAGGTAGCGTCAGACTTCTGTTTGTACCCTGGGAGGAGGCCCCCCTCCGCGATCCAAAACATGTGCATTGGCTGCAGATGCTCAGTAGCAAAAGGACTTCTGAGCATGGTCAGAGGCACTGGTATACTAGGCTGCCAAATAACTAATCCTTTGTAGAAGGTGTGAGGCCACAGAGGACAGAGTAGTTTTGTGTTTCCTAAGGAAAAAAAGGAGGAGTGGATTCTTTCCGTACTTTGAAGGCCAATAGAGACCACCCACCCACGTTATAGACCTGGAGTCCCTGACCTTTAAGAGCATAAGAAGAGCCTTGCTGGATCAGGCCAGTGGGCATCCTGTCTCACTCATTGGCCAACCGATTCCTCTGGAGGGCCAACCACAGGGCATAGAAGAAGTCCATCAGTGGCTATTAGCCACAAGTTATAGATTGGAACTCTCAGTCTGGGGCAAGTGATGCTCTGTATTCTTGGTGCTTGGGGGGGGGGGGCAACAGTGGGAGGGCTTCTAGTGTCCTGGCCCCACTGGTGGACCTCCTGATGGCACCTGGTATTTTTGGCCACTGTGTGACAGAGTGTTGAACTGGATGGGCCATTGGCCTGATCCAACATTGGCTTCTCTTATGTTCTTACATCAGAAGAGCCCTGCTGGATCAGACCAGTGGTCCATCTAGGCGAGCATCCTGCCTAACACAGTCGCCAACCAGTTCCTCTGGAGGGCCAACAACAGGGCAGAGATGCTGACGCCTCCCCCCCATGTCACCTCTTGGCTCTGGGGTTCAGAGGACTAGTGCCTCTGAATGTGGAGGCTCTCCTCAGCCACCCTGGCCAGTAGCCACTGATAGACTTACCCTCCACGAATCTGTCTAATCGCCTTTGGGCGAACTTATAGAGAGGGCGGTGGCGCTACAGCTACAGAGCTTCCTGGAGGATGCTTCAGTCTTAGATCCCTTCTAGTCCGGTTTCCGCCCTGGTCATGGGACTGAGACGGCCTTGGTCGCCCTGACTGACGATCTCCGAAGGCATCTGGATTGAGGTGGTGTGTCGGCACTGTTGTTGTTAGATCTGTCGGCTGCGTTAGAGACGGTCGACCACCAGTTGCTGATCCATCGCCTCACCGACGTGGGGATTCAGGGGCTTGCCCTTCAATGGTTTGCCTCTTTTCTGCAAGGTCGGGGACAAAGGGTGGCCGTCGGGGACCGGCGGGGACCGGCGCTCCCATAGGTACCCCCTTGAGTGTGGGGTACCACAGGGTGCAGTGCTGTCCCCGATGTTATTTAACATCTATATGTGCCCCCTTGCCCAGATTGCCCGGAGTTATGGGCTTGGGTGTCATCAATATGCAGATGACACCCAGCTCTATCTGATGCTGGGTGGCCGGTCGGACTCGAGTCCCGATGACCTTCATCGGGCATTAGAAGCTGTGGTTGGTTGGCTCCGGCTGAGCCGATTGAAACTAAACCCGGCGAAGACGGAGGTCCTGGGCCTGAGTCGGGCCGGGGTGGGGTTGGGGCTCCCTCTCCCGACCTTCAATGGGGCGCCTTTGGTGCCGGCGTCTGGGGTTCGGAGTTTGGGGGTGCTCCTGGACTCCGCATTAACAATGGAGGCCCAGGTGGCAGCCACTGTCAAGTCCGCCTTTTTCCATCTGCGGCGGGCACGGCAGTTGGTCCCCTACCTTGACCGTGATGACCTGGCCACAGTAATCCATGCGACGGTCTATTATTTTGATAAAAGAGATGTATCAACAATTTCAAACTTCTGTAATAATGATCCTTGTTACTCTAGTTTTAGTTTGTTCCCATCCCCTGACCCTGTAGTATTGTAGTTTAGAAAAGCAATAAAAATGTTTAAAAAAAAATATCTGGAAGCTGCAACCAGTGCAGAATGCAGCAGCCAGGCTGCTGATGAGTAATCCCATGTGGGAGCACATCCAGCCCATACTGAAAGCACTACACTGGTTGCCGATAGCATACCGGATTCGTTTCAAAGTGCTGGTTCTTACCTATAAACCCCTATATGGCCAGGGTCCAGCCTACCTGAGAGACTGCCTTTCCCCATATGTTCCCCCAAGAGCACTACAATCCGGTAGTGAATGGGTTGTGATGGGCCATGGACAGACTTTCCCTTGTCCGATTGGTCCAGCGCACTCTCATGGCATCGGGAGGGTCTGATCAGGCCATCCCGACTCTGTGCCGTTGTTCCCCCCCCCTCAGTATGTGCATCATCGCACACTCCGTAGGGAGCCCTCGGTGTGGAGGTGCGATGCATCAATCCCTTGTTTAAGCGCATGGGGGAAGAAAGGATAAAAAAAGATGACTGACTGAGATCACACACTGATGGACTGAACCTGCAGCTCATCCCAGGCCCCAAGGACACCAAACTAGCTGCGCCCAGGGCCAGGGCTTTTTCGGTGGTGGCTCCTACCTGGTGGAATGAGCTCTCGGGGGAGATCCGGGCCCTGCGGGACCTTATGCAGTTCCGCAGGGCCTGCAAAACGGAGCTTTTCCGCCAGGCCTTTGAGTAGGAGCCGCCGCCCCTACTATACCATCACCATCATGGATTGACAAGGCCCTGAGGAAGCACCTGGATATTGTAAAGAAGCCCTAAGCCGTTCCCCTGTGGGCGTTAACATGTGGGCACCTTTGGAGTTCTGACACGGGTGGTGGGCACAACCACAAAGCAGCTGCTGCTGGAGGTGGAGCCAGCCACACGGAGAAAGCCCAAGGGCAGGAGAGAAGAGCAGTAATTTTTTTTAATACACTTACGAAAGAGGAGAGAGAGAGATGATCTATCTATCTATCTATCTATCTATCTATCTATCTATCTATCATCTATCTATCTATCTATCTATCTATCTATCTATCTATCTATCTATCTATCTATCTATCTATCGAATTTCTACCCTGCTCTCCCGGCTGAAGCCGGCTCTCTGCCACTGGAACAAGGTTATCTTAATCTGCCCAGACAGACAGCTCTCCAAATGGCCAGTCAGAAGCTTAGCTGGACACCCACCCAGTTTCTAAAAATCCTCAGTGGGCACCAGGTTGGGAACCCCTGTTGTAGACCTTTAGAATTATTATGCTTGTGCCTCTCTCCGATTAGGGGGCGAATCCTACGACCCTGAGCTGCTTCTGCCCTTTGCACAGTCACAGAGAGCTTTCATTGTGGGCACAGGGAATGAGAGTCCATGTGCACCCCCAAATATACACCCCTGGGACTCCCCATTTTCCATGACCACCACCCCCCTTCTCAGCAGAGGTGTCTGATTGTGTCAGGACAACATCCTGGAAAGCGCATCCTCCTGTGTACATACACATACACCATGTGCCCCTGGAACAGTCGAGCAGCTGCTTCTTCGTGGCTTGCTTTTAGGTGGCCTAAGCATACTGTCAGAGTGGAGTCCTGGCTCAGAATTAAGCCTTGGAGCAACTTCAGACATTCCCCAAAGACCTGGTATCTGGGACACAGCGGCTTTTGTGAATATAACTGGAGGCTTGTTGTATCTCTGACCCCTGATCAGGTTCCCTCTCGCAGCAAAAAGCAGCCCATCCTCGGAAAAAAAAAACGGAAGAGCCTGCCCATTCTGGGGATGCCACCTGACTGGAAAGAAGCCAGTCCAGCTTGGAGGGCTCATGGTAAAATCTAACAGACAGTTTCCTCCCAAAATGGGTCATTTGCCACGTCTGCTTTGGCACTGCAGTCCTAAGCGGAGTTACGCTGTCATAAGCCCATTGACTTCAATAGGCTTAGAAGGGTGGATTACACTGAGCACGATCCACTTACAGCCACTGAAGAAACACGGCAGAACCCGCTCCCTGTCTCCCACGGAGTCTGGAAGGCAAGTCCAGAGGAAAGACTCCTGCCAAGAAGCAGCGGCCTCCCCTTCTGTGGCTGCAAGCGCTTTGGGCTCACCAGAAGTTTAGTCTCTTAAACAAATTAATTTCTCATATGTTCTCTATTGGGTGCAGTTTGGAAATGACTACTTTAGAGACCATCCCTGTTGTCCCGGAAATGGGAGCCCGGAATGGGGTGCTGGCTGGCAAGGTGAAATTCAGGCTAGGCTTTGCTTCCATGGGAAGGGAAAAAAAGAAATTCCTCTGCACCTTTATGCAGATCAGGGGCAATCCCTCAGCAGACGGCCATTGGCTTCTTTAACTCCTGGCTGAAATGCACTACTACATGCTGGCTTTATGCCCAAAAGGTGCAAGGAATTCCAAGAATCAGCTGAACAGGGCAGGGCTCAGGCTAGCTGCCAAACTTCCTGCCTTCCTGATTCATGTCAGGTGTATTTTCATGCTCAGTTCTGACTACGGACAGATTATCCCAAGCATCCAGATATACTGCCTCTGCGAATGGAGGCTCTGTTTATTTTTGCCCTGGGAACCCAAACCAAAACAAGCAAACTCTGACTCATGTATAAATTATTCAGATTAGGTAGGCGTGTTCATATTGTTTTGCTTTTGTTAGCTGGGAGCTGAGGCAATGAGGGCATGGGGTGGCCGTCAAGCACACATTCAAACAGGTTTTTGCAGCCTTGGAGGCCAGAACCTTGCCCTTTAAATAAAAAAAAAGCAAACTAAAATTCTGCAGAAAGCCACTCCTTTGCCTGACAGAAATGTCTGCAGAATGCCCTGCTGTGGCCCACAGCAAAATGAATGTACATCTTCTTGTAACCTGAGCTAATAACTCCAACCGTAAAAATATTAATATTTATCTATCATACACAAAGAAAGTCAGGATAGCCTTGCAGGAAAGGGCCAAAGGTCCAACCAGTACAGCATCCTGTTTCCTACACTGTCCAGGTTCTGGGAAACTTACAACAGGTCATGGAGTGACAGCTCTCAGAAGCAGCCGATATTCAGAGGTATATTGCCTCTGAACATGGAGGTTCCTTTTAGCCAATAGCCTCTGTCTACCCTCCTTTTAAAGCCCCCTAAAGGGCCGCAGTGGCTCAGAGGTTAAGACAGTGAGCTGCAGACCGGAAGGTCGGTAGCTCAGCAGTTCGAGACACTAGTGCCACATGACGGAGTGAGCTCCCGTCTCTGGCCCCAGCTCCTGCCAACCTAGCAGTTCAAAAGCAAGAAACTGCAAGTAGATAAATAGGTACCGCTTCGGTGGGAAGGTAACAGCATTCTGTGCGCCTCGGCATTTAGTCATGCCAGCCACATGACCATGGAAAAGTCTTCGGACAGCCCTGGCTCTTCGGCTTGGAAACGTAGATGAGCACTGCCCCCTAGAGTCGGATTTGACTAGTTTGCAAGCAAGGGAAACCTTTACCTTAAAACCTGTGCCTACCGCTTTATCCTGTGGTGAAGAGGTCCACATATCTTTTTGCCGAAGGTATAAAGGAATAACTTTTCTGAATTTGCCACTGATCAGTTTCATGAGGTGACCATGAATTCTGTTGTTATAAGAGCAATAATTTCATATTTATGTGTGCCTCCTGTACATCATGCATAACTTTATCTTATCATGTTTCTGCTACAGTCATCTTAGTAACAGCAACCCTTAAAGGTCAGTAAGAGTAGCTAGAAAGTTAAAATACCTAGAAATTATTAAGCCGCAGGAAAACAAACCATTTTTCTTGGGTTTTGGGTATGTGTGTGTGAAATTTGGGAGAAAAATTAAATATATCTGCTTACCAAACTTGAACTGACTGTACTGCTCAGACTACACAAAATGTAGAAAACGCCTCAGTTTTCTACAAGAAACACTGCAAACACGCCCAATACTTAAGGAAGAGAACGGAAAATCCCCCCCCCCCCAGCCTCACTACCTTCGCACATGTGTCTGAGAGAACAGTAGCTTCCTGTTGTTGTGATTCAGGTGAGCAGCCCTGTTAGTCTGAAGCAACAGTCTGAGTCCAGGGGACTCAAGTGCGCAGTCTCTAATCTGGGAGAACCGTGTTTGATTCCCCACTCCTCCACTTGCCGCTGCTGGGTGACCTTGGGCAAACCATAGTTCTGTCAGAGCTGTCCTTGAAAGGGCAGTTCTTGAACGAGCTCTCTCAGCCCCACCTACCTCACAGGGTGTCTGTTGTGGGGAGGGGAAGGGAAAGGAGATTGTAAACCGCTCTGAGACTCCGAGTGAAGGGCGGGGTATAAATCCAATCTCCTCCTCCTCCTCCTCCTCTTCTTCTTTAAGACCAACAAAGGTTAATTCTGGGTATAAGCTTTTGTGTGCATGCACACTTCTTCAAAGATGTTATTGTGAGTGAGGCAGTAGTGGAACCTATGCCTCACCAGCTCATTTCCAGAGCCTGACTTTTGTAGGACCTCAGAATTGTGGACCCCTGGTCCCCTTAGGGTTGCTAACCTCCAGGTAAGCCCAGAAGATCTCCCAGAATTACAGCCAGTCTCCAGGCTACAGAGAAAGAAGAGGAAATGGCAGCTTCAGAGGGTGGGCGCGGCAGTGTTCCCTCTAAGCTGAGTTGGTGTGAGCTAGCTCACAGTTTTTCAGCCTCTGGCTCACACATTTTTGTCTCAGCTCAGGATGGATGGCTCCAGAGCTACTTAATGTATGCAGCAGCCAAATGCTTGCTCACGACTTTAATGCCAGTAACTCACAAAACAGAGTTTTTGCTCACAAGACTCCACAGCTTAGAGGGAGCATTGGACTGGGCGGTATGGCAGCCTGTCCCCGCTGAGCTTCCTCCCCTCTCCAAACCCCACCCTCCCCAGGCTCCACCCCCAAATCTCCAGGAATTTCCCAGCTCAGAGATGGCAACTATAGCCTCCCCCCCTTTTTGGTGGCCCTCCCAACTCTCTGCTCGCAATTATCAGGGCCAAAAAACAACTGCCGGCTGCTTGGCCTGCCCCGAAAGAAGCAAAAAACGTGGCTGACTCTCCTGCCAGGGGGTTGGCATGGAAAAGTGATTCAAATGCTGCACAAAGTCAGGGTGAGATAGAGCTAGGGTGCTTGAGAACAGCTGAAGGGGGGGTTAAGTTTAGATTCCTTACCTGGGATTTGGTTTTACTTTTTTTTAAAAAAGGATATCTTTTCCCACCTTTGCTTCGGAACCCATATGGGCTAGAAACTTATACTTTGATTTTAGAGGGAGCTAGGACCCTAAATCCATAAAGTAATATGTGAGCATTCTTGTGGAGCCAGGACACTTTGCTCAATAGAGACTGGGGTTATCAGGGTTCACCTTCAGAATCTGTTTTGGATGCTGAGCTCTGAAACGTGAAAACCCATCATCAAAAAAAGAGAGCCTCTGAGCATATGCAGAAATGCATTCACTCACTCTCAGTAATCAGCTGCAACGAGTTTCTGTCACTATAACAGGCCCTTCCACTGTAGCAGAACTTCCTTATTGGTCAAAATTGGTTCTACGCAGATTAAGCAACCAATGAGCTGTCTCATTAATCTACCAATTTAACTGATCAACAGGGTTAGTCCTAGTGATGCTGAGCTTTCGGCCTGCTTTTGGTCCTAACGCTCGCTTCTTGTTATCCTGATACCTTTTCAGTCTTGGCTCTGTGGCAACGAGGCCTAGGAACTTTATTTCCGTTTGAGCAAAAGTTGGGATTTCCTGGGCCAAACGTCACACACGAGCACTACTTACTGTATGGGCACTTCTTCCAACGGGTCCCTTCGACTTTGCCGTTGCTGTCAATGTGTAGGAAGAAATGGGTTGAGGAGTAGAGCCGCCTCCAGCGCACGTCCCCCTCCAGGTGGTGATAGCTCCGGGCATGCCTGTTGTTGCCCCCTGCCTTCCAACGAGGGCTGTCCGCGTGCCCGGCTGGGCCTCTGTGCCCCTGAGCTGATCCACCCAGCAGAAAGAGCACCAGGGGGAACCACACAGCAAAGCTACATAGCGGTTCTCGCCAGCCCACTGCAGTCCATGCTGCCATGCTGAGTCTGTCATCCAGTGTCTATCCGGCCAGTGACAACCATGTGTTTTCCCAGTGCCGCCGGGCCAAGCACGTTCCCCTTCCTAAAACGGGTGGCTTTTGTTCCCGGGCGTGGTGCGGTCCACGGAGAGGGATGGATGTGCTGCACGCGGTCCCATGGTGGAAAACCTTCTTGAACTACCAAGTGGCCTCCAGTCGTGTGGAAGTTGCACAGCTCAGCCAAGGAAAACAAAAACCACTTGCAGCCTCAGACCCTGAGCCAGCAAGGTTGTCTCGACTCCTGGCTCCTTGGTGCGCCTGTCAGGATCCTCAGCACCTCCCTTTCTGCTGAGGAGAGTCTGGAGCTGCTTCAGCAGAGCCGACAAGAGCACTGCCAGTTGAACTAGCCCTGCTGGAGAGAGCCACACCGGTCTCATGCAGACCTGAGCCATTGAGATGGAGCTATATACACAGCTTATTTTTTCCACCCTCACCTCCTGCCCACAAGGGGAGGGATTGGCTAAGTCTACTTCCCAACCAATCACAAATGCCTAAAGGCGGGGCTAAAGGGTTTGTCCTCCCTCATTCATAAAATCTATTTGAACCATCAGATGTTCCAGTTCTTAAGAATGAATGGGGTGGGGGGGAGTATTTGACAACTCAAGTTCTAATGCGGTGCTTGTTTACTCAAATGTAAACCCCTGAGTGCACTGGAATGTATCTCCCTTAATATATATGTTTCACTGGAAACTATTCTCCACAAATTGTGATTATAAATCAGGACCAAAGGGGTAAAAACGTTGTTTTCAGACATCAGGGCGACTCAAAGCCTTCCAACAACATGAAGTTTACTCCAGGAGAGGAAGGAAGGTGGAGAATCTGAGGATGTCTGTAAACCAGGCTGTGAAATCTGAATACAACCTTAGGCTGAGTAAGGTGTGACCACTTGAGTCACTGCAGTGACACCGGGTATCTGCAGAGATGCAATGGGTACCCTCCTTTGAGAGAGCACCATTGTGCTGATTTGCTACTGCAAGATGATTGGCTCATTCAGCATGGAGGGGACGGAGAGAAGAAGAGGGGTTACTGGGCTAGGAAGACAGGGGCAGGGCATCACGCAGAAGCACGGCAGACCTCTCCTCTGCAGGGGGGCTTAGAGGTCCCAGAAGCCTTTGATTGTTTAATTAACCAGCACCCAGTTTGGGGCTCAGTTCCTCTATGAGCTGGAGTGGTGGGAGAAGTGGTGCCTAGCACAATTCTTCCTGCTGTGCCACTCTCAGATGCAGCAACTCTGGCCTGTCTGGAATGTGGCCCTTCCAGTCTGCTTGGCCATTTTTAGGCAACTTTGAACCTGTTTGCTCCCAGAAGGATGCAAGAGTGCCACGGGAAAGCCTCTCCCCGTGTGTTTTGCAACATTCCTCCTCCCTGGTTATGGGGAGGAGAAACACTCTGAAAAATGCAACTGAGTGCAATCCTGTTCTTTTTATAGAAGCTCCTGAAGCATCACTGCGGCAGGGCCCTTCCAGGATTCACCACGGCTGAGAGAAGCCTGCCCTCTCTGAAGGCTGGGATTCTGGGGCTAAAGATGGATTTGGAAACTGAACAAGCTTCGACTGATATGCGTTTTCCAAACGTAAAGATGGATTTGGAAACTGAACAAGCTCCATGTGATTTTCTGTGGCTTCGACTGATATGCGTTTTCCAAATGGTCCATTCCTTGCAGGAAGACCCGTCTGTGTATGTCAGGGGTCCCCAACGTGGTGCCCGGGGGCACCATGGCAGTGCCAGTGTTCCCTCTAAGCTGAGTTCGTGTGAGCTAGCTCACAGTGTTTTAGCCTTTGGCTCACACATTTTTGTCTTAGCTCAGGAAGGTTGGCTCCAGAGCAAACTAATGTATGCAGTAGCCAAATCACTTGCTCACAACTTTAATGTCAGTAGCTCACAAAGTAGAATTTTTGCTCACAAGACCCCACAGCTTAGAGGGAGCATTCCATGGCACCCACCAGCACCTTTTCTGGGGCCCACCAAGTGCTTTTAGAAAGTGGGCGGAGCCAGGTGGGGCTTTTGCTCAGTGAATCTCCTGATGGGCTGCTGGAGATTTGATGGGCTGTGCAGATTTTTTAAAATGTTGCTTTGGCTGCAGCTGCTACCACAGCACAAGGATCTTTGCTGTGTGACTGAAGGTGAACTGTGGCAACCAGTGTTTCCTCTAAGCTGAGTTAGTGTGAGCTAGCTCACAGTTTTTTAGCCTCCAGCTCAGAGATTTTTGTCTTAACTCAGGAAGGATGGCTCCAGAGCAAACTGATTTATGCAATTGCCAAATAGCTTGCTCACTACTTTATTGCCAGTAGCTCACAAAGTAGAACTTTGCTCACAAGACTCCATAGCTTAGAGGAAACATTGGTGGCAACCATTTTGTGGTTGGCTCCACCTCCTGCGGCAGCCATTTTGTGGCTGCACCCACCACACTGTGTTAGATTCCAAAGGTGCCTGCAGTGGGATTGCCAGGTCCCCTCATCGTACCAGCGGGGGGATCTGGAGGGTGTTCTGGAACATCCCCAAGCCAAAGACATCACCTGGCAGTGACATCATCACATCGGCACCGTCAGGGGCAAACCTCTATGATAATACTAGCATCAAACCATAAAGTTTTGCCCTCAAACCAGAGCATCATCACGCAGCGTCCCTGCTGCAATGATGTCATTTCCAGATGGCGTCCATTATGATGTCACTTCCAGGTGGCGTCATCGCGTCGGGGACATCCCAGAATGCCCAATGGAGGGCGTTCTGGAACATCCCCAAGCCAAAGACATCACCTGGAAGTGACGTCATCACATTGGCACTGTCAGGGGCAAAACTCTATGGTAATACTAGCTTCAAACCATAAAGTTTTGCCCTCAAACCAGAGCATCATCACACAGCGTCCCTGCTGCGATTATGTCATTTCCAGATGACGCCCCCACCGTTATGATGTCACTTCCAGGTGGCGTCATCGCGTTGGGGACATCCCAGAATGCCCAAATCCCCTCACTAGAGCAGGAGTGGGGTTTCCCCCTGCCAGATAGCTGGCTGCTGGTGGGCAGAAGCCCCCAAAACTGGGGAAACTCCTACTGCTGGGACCTGGAGACCGACAACCCCAGCCCACTGGCTTAGGAAGGTCGAGACCCCCTACGATGGAGCTCCAGGGTGCAACTGGTCCAGGAGCAAGTAAAAAATACACACATCCCATGAATGCAGCCAGATTGGATACATATTTATTCAGGAAGTGAGTCTTAGTTTCCGTGGAGAGAATTCCAAGGAAGTAGGTGTTGCACTGTTGTCCTCCTGAGATATATTCCACATTGCATGAGGACCAGGAGGTTAGATGTTGTCATTGGATTGCATTAGTTTGTATCCTCGGCTCACCCTTCTGAGCTGATGCTCTTCTGGATATGCCACAAATTGGCGTATCAAGAGCAGCCCCTTCGGTGCAATTCTCTAGGAATTCTTTCTCACCCCCTCTCCACTCACCACTTGTATGTCTCACGGCTCTCTTACCCCAGCCCTTCTCAGACAATGTCCTCTTCCTCCCCCCTTTCTCAGCCTGCTCCTCTCTTTCTATCCCCTATTTCTCTCTCTCTCACACACACACAATCTTCCCCCTCTTTGGTCTCCTTTTCTGCAGCTTCCTTGTTTTTCTGGCAGTGGGGAGGCCGCTCGCCTGAGAGGGATCTGGTGGCGGCGTTCTGTGCCTCGCGGCTTCAGGGCTGCCTTTGTGGTGGTGGGGAGACCAGCTGCCTGGGAAGGACCCAGCGACGTCAGCGTCCCCTGCCCCGTTACTCTAAGGCTGTCTTGCTGGCCGTGGGGAGGCCGGCCACTGAGCGAAACTCCAAGTCCAGCGCGAGGAACCACGAGTTCGCACTGCGCAAGTGCAGACAACTCCGTTTTTTTAATTGGGTTTTTTTTTTTAATCCCCCCTGTGTATTTTTTTTAACTTTTTGCATTTTTCTGCAACCCTGGAGAGTACTCCAAGTGTGCAGAAAAATGTCTTTAGCCTCCAGGTGCCCTTGTTCTGCAGAAATAAGTATCCACACACAGAGGGACCCTTGGTTATTAGATATATAGTTGATGAAGCAGAAAACCAAAAGCAACAGCCAGAGGCTCAGCATCTAACCGATGACAGGGTGAGACCAACTCCCAAGTGTATCCGAGAGAGATAATTCTCTTAACTTTCCCTCCCAGACCCTCTTGCATGCAGAGTTACAATATCCAACACCCCTTCTTAACATTGCATGCAAGAGTTCTCAAGTTTCAGATTATTTCATAGTTTTTTCAAATCTAATTCTTGATAGAAGGTTGGTCAGGATGTTGGCCACCATCTCTTCTGTTGAACAGTACTCCATCTCTATTATGCCATTCTCAGCTAGGTCTCACACAAAGTGAAATGTCACACCAATGTGCTTAGTTGCGTGCAGCCACTTTTTCTGTTTGAAAAAATCTTAACGCAGCTCTGGTTGTCCTCTTTAAGTTGAACTAGCTTTTGGGTTTTTTATTTAATTTTTATAGGAATACAGAATAAAGAAAGGGGTAAGGGAAAAAGAGAAGATAATAAAATTATAAAAACACAATACAGAGGGCAGTTTTTACAGCTATTAAGAACAATAATTAATTAAATAGTATAAAAACAGGTATAACATGGTAGCTTAAACTATGATAACAACCTATACTCAAAACATTCTATTTTCTCATAATGTGTGTTCATTTTTGTCCTATCTTATCAACTATAAAATAAAAAACAGGTAAATTCTCATTAACTTTGTATATAATTATAACATAGCAGTTTGTTGTAATTAAAAATGTTAAATTGATAATGTTCTTAATATTTCATATGAGTTGTCATTTATAAAATAAACCATTCTATGGCCCCGGTCACACGAGCCAGATATCGCGGGGAGGCGTGGATAATTGCCCCGGCGCGATTACTCAATCAGACGTGCTGGCGGCACACCACGGGTCCTTCCCTTGGTGCCGGCAGCTAAACGAGGGACACCACGGGAGTCTGGAGGCAGCCTGTGGCAAACGTTTACTAATACTTTGGAGGTACTAGTTTTTTAACGCGCATTTTCGGCGGTAAGCCATGGGTGCGCTCCACTTTCCAGATGTTGGGGTGTGATCGCGCCCGGATAATCCGCCCACCATCCGTGCTGTGCCACAACTTTGCCGTGTGACCGGGGCCTGTTTTTATAACTACAAAGATTAATTATGGCCCCGTTCACACGGGCCAGATATCGCGGGGGGGGGGGGCGTTGTTTCTTTGCAACACAGCGAAATAACACGATCAGGCGTCCCCTCGCGGTCCCATCGAGGTCCCGTGGTTAGGGGGGAGGTGCCGATCACACAACGCGCCAGAGAAGCGACGCGGCACGGCAAACGGGGTTGTGTTGGGTTTT